TCCTGAGTGTTATACTGGGAACAGTCACTGCCTCAGAAAAACAAACATACAGTCTATGATGGTAGACTGCTTATGGGCCCAGCACACTTCTGCTGCACAACTCTGCTACCTAATGGTAGACTATTTAAATAATAAATATATTTCCTCCATAGTTATCCTTCACTGCTAAAAGAGAAGGTGTTTAATAATAAGCAATATACAGTCGTTTAATCCCAAAGTCAAGGAAAGACAAAAACCAGAGACCAAGGCCGCAGCTAAGGGCATGTCTCATAACATTGCCTTGATTATACTGACCCCTGGTGGCCCTTGAAGGCACTTTTTTAATAAAGCGGGTAATTTTTTTCTTAGTTGTGCGCCTTAAATTATTCATATTATAACATATCACCAATAATAAGTACTTGATCAGTATGCTTGTCTTCAAAAAGATAAAGATGCTTTACAGAATGTGGAAAATGGGAAATTATATTTAGTTCAAGACAAATGATTATTATATAGCTTTCATACATTCATTTAATATTATTATAGATACTGACCTCTACCTATGTGCAAAGAACTGCGCTAGATCCCAGGAAGACAGGGGTGAACAAGACTGAAAGGTCACTACCTTTACAAAGGCCACCAATTCAAAGGGACATGAATGAGTGAAGGGAAGCACACAGTGCTATGGGAATGTCTGGAGGGGCCAGGCCGTTTTAGAGAATGCCTGCAGATTGAAAGCAAGTAGCTAGAACACCAAAGGGAAAAACAACACTCCAGGCAGCGGGAACAGCATGTGAAAAGGTTCTGGGATGAGACAGACTGGTGAGCTTAAGAAACTTAAAGAGTACACTATGTCTAAAGCATAGAGTTCTAGGGCAAGGGTGGCATTTAACAAGGTTAAAGGAGTGGGCAAAAGCCAGATCTTGTGAATGTTTTTAATTTTCTAAGCACCTAAGCTTCCTTATCAGCATTATCTTTTTTCTATCAAAGCAATATGGCAGGCCAAGTCCACAAACCATTACATAAGAAATTCTATAAATCTTTCAAAGTACAATCTCGCGTATTCCACAAGTCTTTCTCTACTCTTCTATCCCCCTTTCTCCTCTGGCACTTCCTTTGTTCTCTACTCATTGAACAAAATAATTTCTTGGCACCTGTCACCCAGCTAAACCTGCCCTTGTCCAGCAGTGACTCCTGAATGGACCAACAACGTCCACGCTGGCCCAGGGGCAGCCCATGTGTAGGCTGCCGGCCACCTGTGAGGAGGCTTGCTTGCAGGGCTCTGAGCGCGATGGCTAGTTAGTGAAGCCCATTCAGATTGCGACTGGAGAACACCCGAAGGTTGGCAGAAGAGTGAGAAGAGAATGGAGCAGACCACGAAAGACAGAGGGAACAGGTGGCCCGAAAAGCTTGGGTACCCATCCTTACGATAAACCCTCTTTCTCACCAAGGCAGCCTGAGCACCTTACAATTCCTCTGCTGTTGCAGTGATTGCTGCTTTTCTGTCACCCGTGTGTCATTTAACTTTTATCATATTATTCATGTCACCACAAGGATTTTTGAAAGCAGAGGTCACATGTTGAGCTTCCTTGTATTCAACATATACAAGGAATGGATGGGTGGATGGATGGATGTATGGATGAAGAGATGGACAAAAAACTGATTCCTGGAGAATTTAAGTGGGAACTGAAAATAATATCCTAACTGCTTAGAGCTCATACTATGCTTCCTAATCTCCAATCCCATCATTGTCCACATGCTCCAGTAACACCAAGTTTCTCCCAAATCCTCAGAAACATGAGGTACTCGTCACGTTCTCTGCCTCTACAAACCCTTCTCTCTCTTCTAAGTTTCACAGATGTCTACTCTTGCCACCTTCTCTACAAGCTCAAATGTCCTCTTCCCCCAGGATCCATCACACCCTGCTCTAGGCTTCCATACGCCTTTACGAGTCTCTACGCTCAACTCATCTCATATCTCTCTCTCCCTCTGTACCACAACCTCTCCACGAGCCCAGTGGGCTCTTCATCTTCACAAAGATGCTCAAAAAACATGTGCTGACGAAGGGGGACTAGTTCTGCTTTTAGGATTTGGTCCCAAAAAATGTTAACTAAAAAAAAGAAAAGTTAAAGAATTTTTAATCCCTCAGTTTAGGGAAAGAGCTGGGTTCATAGAGCACGCTCATTATATATTTGCAGATTTTTTAGTATTACTAAGTTATTTCTCTAATCCAGATAATTTTAGAATCTAAAGCAATAAAGTAAATACAAAGCTGCCATTTGATCTCAACTAAACTAAAGATATTAATAGAATGGGAGGGCAAACTCCTGCCTACCAGCTGAGTGTACTTGGGAAGTTATTCACTGTTACTGGGCTCTAGCTTCTCTCCATGGGCACGGCCATGCCCACCTCACAGAATTACACAGTATGCAGAATAAATACAAGAACATACATAAAATACCTCATACTGTGCCTGGCCAATAGCAGATATGCAACTTTCCTAAAATGCATTATAATTACATGACACTACAGAAAATAGCTGGTAAAACCAAACAGTGTGATGGCCCCATGTTTACGCTGTGAGAGACCCTTGAAGACCAGCACCTCCCCTACTATGAAATGTTGCCCCCATGTCTTTTCTAAACTCGTATTTCATATATGAAACTTAGTTTTGTAAAAAATAAAAAACAAAAAAAATAAACTCATATTTTTCTAACATTTAGACTCTTATAGTTATGATTGCACTATGTTTATAAATAAGAAAAATAAGCAAGGACCTCAGCTGCAAATCCTACATGATTTTAATGGTTATGCATATTATTCTCCAAAAATATGAACCTCTTTTATAATATTGCCTCCAATATTCTTTAAAACCATGTCATGGCCAGGTGCAATGGCTCACAACTATAATCCCAGCACTTTGGGAGGCCGAGGCAGGAGTGCAGTGGTCAGATCATAGCTCATTGGAACATCAAATCCCTGGTCTCAAGTGATCCTCCTGCCTCAGCCTCCCAAGTAGCTAGGACTACTGGTGCATGCCACCATGCCCAGCCAGTTTTTCTTTATTTTTTGTAGAGATGGTGTCTCACTATGTTGCCCAGGTTGGTCTCAAACTCCTGGCCTCAAGCGATTATCCCACTTCTGCCTCCCCAAGTGTTGGAATTACAGGCGTGAGCCACCGTGCCTGGCAGGAATCACAATTCTCAGATGTAAAATATTCATATGTTTGCATTTGTCTGCTGAGGCACCTCTTATCAATAGCCCATGTTTGTCTAAAGGAAGGTTATCTATTAGGTTGAACAACATAAAATTGCTCATATTTGGCACTTTTGATCTACAAAAATGGCAATTTCTTGTCTAAATAATCTATCATTTTTCTTTTAAACTAATCTAAAAGATACTGCTTTGAAACTGAATAAGGGTTTGCTATGTCTTACATCTTCTAACCAGGCACCACACTCAAGGTATTTCTACCATGATGGTGGGGTCATGGGGTCATGGCGTCAGATAGGAAGCCTGGGCTTTGCTATCAGAGACCTGAATTCAAATCTTGCTTCTTTTGTTTTCCAGCTCTACACCCCTTGGCAGGTGCTAAACTTCTCCAAGCTTCAGCTTCCTCATCTAGAAATTGAGTTTAATAAAACCTGTTTTTCAGGACTATTGTGGCAATGCAAGTAAAAAGCAGGGCGCACATTAAGTACTGGGTACTTTTATCTCACCTCAGGTCTTTTGTTAATGCATGATTATTCTTTCTAACACAGTGGCTCTCCACAGAGCAGGGGAGTGTATTTCCCCCAAAGGATGTTCAGCAATGTCTGGAGACACTTCTGTTTGTCACAGCTTGGGGGGAGGGGAGAACTGCTACTTACATCTAGTGGGTAGAGGCCAGAGATGCTGCTAAATGTCCTACAATGCACAGGACAGAGCCCACGAAAAAGAATTTTTGTCCAAAATGTGAATAATAAAAAGCTCTGGGCCGGGCACGGTGGCTCACGCCTGTAATCCTAGCACTCTGGGAGGCCGAGGCGGGTGGATTGTTTGAGGTCAGGAGTTCGAGACCAGCCTGAGCAAGAGTGAGCCCCTATCTCTACTAAAAATAGAAAGAAATTATTTGGACAAGTAAAAATCTATATAGAAAAAATTAGCCAGGCATGGTGGCACATGTCTGTAGTCCCAGCTACTCGGGAGGCTGAGGCAGAAGGATTGCTTGAGCCTAGGAGTTTGAGGTTGCTGTGAGCTAGGCCGACGCCACAGCACTCTAGCCCGGGCAACAGAGTGAGACTCTGTCTCAAAAAAAATAAATAAATAAAAAGCTCTGTTCTAATAGAACTGTTTTTAAAGCATTTATTCATTAATTTACATATTTTTTAAATTTTTTTATTAATATATATTTTTTTAATTCCAAAGAAAAACAGGAAATATTCAATAAATTTTCAAGAATCACACAGTGGTGCACAGGAGAAAGCCTGAGGCACAGACAGATGGGACGTATTTTAATGTCCCTGCCCTGTTAGGTCTCAGAGCTATACAAGTTGGCAGCAAATATAGGAAGAGGTGGAGGAGCTGGGGAGATTGAGGAACAGAGGCAATGTGGCCAGTTCTCAAACAAAGACTGAAAGTACGTTAGTCCACTCGCTCATCAGAAGTCATTTACAAAATATTTGCCAAATTTACCAAATAAAAGCTTATTTTTTAAATGTTCATTATTTAGTTTTAAAATGCTCAATGCATGCAATAAATAAGTAAACATTTATTTAATCACTTATATACTAAAATGCCAAAATGTTTTAATCTCCACACATATCACAGAAAAAGACAACAACGATTAAACCTCTATTATAATGAAGGCTAACCCACTGATAAACATAGTAAATTAAAAATAAACCACTTAAATTATCTAGATGCTCATATTATTATTATTTTGTTTCTGCTCGTTGAATAAATGTCTTTGGAGACATTTCCCCAACTGATCTATTAACATCATTTTAACATTCCCCCCCCCAAAATATATTTATACTCACATTCACTTGAACTTGAATGGACCAGTCACCAAGTATGGGATGGGAAGATAATTGAAATGTTTTGGAAACGACTCCAAGATCACTTTGTTGTGACAACCACTGTTGGATCAAATTTGACTTGGGGTCCTAAAACGAAAACCATACATGTGACTATATAAAGGCTGCCCACATACATGTGTATCCTATCTGGTTAGGGATGATAGTAATACCTTGCAGTGTAAGGTTATAGCAGAATCTCCCCCCTTGTGTGTGTGTGTGTGTGTGTGTGTGTGTGACATGTAAGGCATGTAAGGTTATAGCAGAAGTGTTCTCTTTAATTCTAACTGATGCCATCTGCTTCTGTCACTGTGCTTGCTTTTAGTTGATAGTCAAATATAGCTACACGGAACAGGAGTGACTCCATGACAGGCTGAACTTCCTAGAGTAGGCCTGCAAAGATGTAACAAAACCCCCCGCCGTGTGTTCTTGCTTAAGCTTGCCTGCGAGTGTCGATTGCAGCTTCTTGGAATTCCTCCACCCCAGGCTGGCAGTTCCGATTGCAGCCGATGAGATTACCCCACCCTCGGCCTCCGGGAGTAGTCTGTGCAAGATTAAGCCTCTAGAATTTCCCCACCCCAAAACTCCCTCTTATCCTGTTTTTGCCCCTGACCACTTGCGTGTGGTTTTTGCTTTTAAACCCCAGCCCTACACTTATCGGGTGCTACAGCTAGCCAGCTTGGTGATGCTGTGAGCCCCTGCGCTGCGCTTGTAATAAAAAACCTCTTGCTTTTTGCATCAAGTCTCGGTCTCCGCTCGCTTTTCAGGGTCGTCATCTCTCCCCTGGGCCCACCGCGGAATTATCTGCAGTCTAACAGCAGCACTCCCGGACACATCCAGAACTTTCCCCAAAATATGGCACAAAGATAGTTTTTGGAAAGTGTTAGCTCTGTATTACTAAAGAAGACAAATCAAAATTTCTTCTTTCCTTGTATTTCTATTGAGATCATATTTATTCTGCTCCACCCTTTAAATCCAGGCGCCGTATTTCCTTCTACATGAAACTCTACAACACGTGCATCACCAAACCTGTGGTGGCGGCAGTGGTGTCAGTGCTAAAAAAATTCCACTGTGGCGATAACAGCCCCATTTATTAAAGGCTCACTGTGTGCCAGGTCCTCTGCCCTATCTCGAATTAGACTGCTCCTTCAGAGTAGGATTGCCCTCGCTTTGTGGCAGAGAACACTAATGCCTGAAGAGGCATGTAAGCATTTAACTGTAAGTGACTGGCACGGCCCAATATTACAGCACCAAGACGTGATGGGATTCAGGATTCAAACCCGTGTCTGTCTTTTAACTCTACAAAAGTGTATCAGAGAGACGTATACCCAGGGGAATACATGAAAAACACTCAGTCTTCCTATAATCTCCCAAACAACGATCACTTCGTGCAACATTCATCCAACCCATGCCAGCAGCCACCCCAGACTCCTCTCTCACGTTCCCAGCCCCGCTGACTCTGGCTCATTAACATCTCTCTAATTTGTCTCTTTTTCCATCCTCACATCCAACCACCATGTCCTATTTTCTAACTAATGCAACTAATCTCTCCGCTCCGGTCTTGCCCCCTCCCATACATCTGCCCCGCTGTCAACAGTGTCACACATCTGAAACACAAATCTGAGAATGAGTCACAGGGGTTGAAACGCTTGGCGCAGTGCCTGACATGTAACAAGCAATGAATAAATAGTGGCTGTGAACCTTTCCACTAGGTAATGATGGCTTTTCTTTGCTTATAGAAAGTCCATACTCCTTTACATGGCTTTCAAGGCCCTTAATAATCTGACCCCATCTACATTTCTAGGCTCATCTTCCTCCAAATATACAGGTTTATTTTCAGTTCACCCCCAGCCCATGCATCTAGGCCTCTGTAATATTAATAGCTGCATGGAATTCCCTCCCTTTCCTGTCCAGCTTCCTGCCTTCTATACATGCCCCCAAGAAGCAGAGGTGACCACTTCCTGGAGAGCCCCTGGTACATCTGGCATTTACCCCTCCTGAGTACGTACTACTGTTAAAAGGAGTAAAATATGTTTATTTTACATGCTTTATTTTGCAAAAAATATATATATATTTTATTCCCAACTAGACTGAACTGAGAGCAGGATGGAATATTTTCCCACATTCTTATCCTCTAAACTTTGACTGGAAGTAGTGAATTGGCCCAGCATTAGTTGCCCAGCAGAAACCTCTCTCCCAAAGGAGGGATATGAAAGTTGGGGGTAAGCAGAGTGCTGCGAATTGAATAAGAAGCAGTCTAATAAGTCAGAAACTAATTGTTAAAACCAGAGACCAAAAGCAAGTCAAGAACAAGCAGGTCCCTGTACCCTTGGCAAACTCATGGGACAGGCACTGTGATCAGCAGCTGGTTCTACTGTGCCTGTCACAACTCGATGCGTGGGAGGGCAATGAAGTTTAAAGGCTCAGGAACAAAGGAAGAAATACAAATGGCTGATAAATATACACTGTGTAGTAATTAAGGGAATGCAAATGAAAACAATGTAACACCATTTTTCTTCTGTCAGACTGACAAAGATTTTAAAAATGATAACGATAATTCTTGATGTTACCTCAAGTGCAGGAAAAGGGAATGTCCATATTCTACTGATGTATTATTGTGGTGAGAGTGTACATTTCTCCCAGGCAGTGTCACGGCCCTTCGAACACAGGAAGTCCGAACTGACCTCGTTGATGACTTTGCACCCGGGGGACCTGGGGGTTTGGGAGTAAATGAGATAATCCCTCTGGTTTCCCAGGCCCATCTTGGGCCTTGGTCTAACGGTCACCAACAAGGAAGATGTAGAGATTGCAGAAACACTGGAAGTCTACAGAGCACATCAAGATTTGAACAGGCCATGCATGGTGACATCACAGCCGAGCCCAGCATTTGCACATAGTCACATCCTGCTGGGACGTTCACAGGTACGGTGTGAGCGGTGCCCCATCACAGCCAGAAATGCTGTGTGCCAGAGAAACTGGGATAGTGGCTCTTTGAGTGACCTCCCAGTGGCTCTAGAGCTCTGTCAGATGCCTCAGCCCAGCACAGTGCATGCTACCTATGCCAGGCCGTCTCAAGCAGTAAATTCCCTGGCTGGAGAATGTGTCTGCAAGGACGACTTCTGGAGTCCTGGATTATGCATGAGCAACATGTCTGTCCAGCACATAGAATCAGAGAAGTCAAATCTCTCAAATGTGCCCCCTCACCCGGCCAGGGCTGAGGTTCATAGTCTGCCACCGCTGCTCCAGGCCAGAGTGTCAGGGCACAGTCACAGGATGTACTCCCAAGCCAGTAACACTTGTTCCCATACAAGGCCATTCACTTGTACCAGGAGTAACAGCTTCTTAAAGGAGAGGTCAGGGTAGAAGCCAGCCAAGCCAGCTGCCATCACAGTCTCAGAGGTACTTATTTCCATAATGCTAGACCAAACTGGCTGGAGGAGGCCAGAATTTGGGTGGAGGTAACACATGTTTTTTTTCCACTGTTGAAAGGCCTCTGAAGCCCCTTTCCTTCCTCAGAAGGTCAGTTGTTGGGACATGCAAAATGAATGATACCCATGAAAAACTGAGCATCCCTGAATATGCTGCGACAGTCACTACCTTAATTACATCCTACAACCATTCTTGGCTGGGCAAGACGGGCCCCCAAAATTTAACTCTCATGTGCACTTCTCCATACCAGCCTGCAGGTGGCGCTGTGCCAGCGAGTACAACTTTGCCCCGATCAGGGGCTCCAGTTTACTAAGTCCCGCTTTTTTCTGGGAAGTTTTGCCAAGAAACCAATTATTCCACACTGAAAGATGCAGAAAATGTCAGTCTAGTGAACGCTGGCCCAAATGACCGTTTTCAGCTGGAGGAGCACGACGGTGTGGACATTCACATTGGTGCTCCGATCTGGCCTCTGTGACTCACAAGGAGGAAGGAAGCCAGCCCTGAGTCCACACAGGAGCATTATCTCCCAGATACAGACCGGTAGACGGCTTACCCTCACTCACTGCTCCCAAACACTTTGGGTGCCCGGTGCAATTTTAATCTACACTCCCTTCCTCTGGCCAAGAGTCCATCAGTGCCAGAGCTAACAGGAGGAAGGTCTCTCTGAGCCCTTCCAGGAAAGCCAAATGTCACATGCTAAGTCCAAAACTGGACAGAAGAACCCAAAGAATCTACAAAATCAAAGGTTTCAAAGGCAGGTACTAGATCAGAGTAGAGAGGCAGACCGATAAAAATGCACAGACTAGTCCAGAATCAACACGGTTAGTTCTGAGTTAATACCTGGAACAGGCAGTTTATTCAGTGCTAACTTTTATTTGTTTGACATAGAAGGAGGGAGTGAATGTAAACAATCAGAGATAGGCAGACATTTATTTCTAAATCATCTATTTTACACATACTCTCTGGCATACAGTAAGTTCTCCATATATGTGGATAAATGATGAAGGATGGTATAAATGCAGTCAGTTTAACCCTGCTCAGAGTCACATGAATTTAGAAATGCCATTCACTGTGTCAGTCTGCTTTCTAGACATTCCAGTGCATAGCAAAAGCAGAAATTCACAGAGCTGCAAACTCCAAAATAATACTAGTTCAAGAAACATGCATTGAGCACCATGCCAACCCATGTGATATTTGCTACAAATATATCCTGGCTTGACATTATATGCATACGTGTCTGTTTGGTTGGTTTTTATTGTTGTGGTTGTTGCTGTTTTAATTTATAACAACAGGGAAACTAAGAAGAATAGGAAGATACTGAACTAAAAGCCCTGAATTTACCTTCCACACTGTTATTCATTAGAATATTTGGGGTGACCAATGTCCTTGGACTGAGGGGGCTCCCAGGACCCCCTCAGTTTTAAAATCAGGGGACTTTCAGTTTTAAAATCAGGAGCATCCAAGGCAAACTGGGATAAGTTGATCACCCTATTTCCACATAATGATCAAAAGTCTGGTATTCTCCTCATCCTAAATATAGAAAACTAGGCCCAGCTGGATTTCAACTGTCTTCCACTTGATTCTCACAGGACAGCACTGGGTCTGCTAACTATGCTGCCTCCAGATCACTGAGTGTTCAAGCAGCAGTGGCCAAACAACTACCTGTCAAAAGAGGTTCCTTTAATAATAATAATAGCTAATGTTTAGTGAGACTGTACTATGTGCCAGACACAGTTCTAAATAGTTTACTTGAATCATCTCACTTAATCCTCACAAAAACTTTGTGAGATATTATTATTACATATTTTACACATAAGAAAACTGAGACTCAGAGAAGTTAATTAATTTCCCCAAGATCACACAGCGAGCATCTATTCTTCTTAGAGCTGGTAGTGTTCCTTTTAAGATGTTAAGTCAAACCACATCGTGCCTCTTCTCAGAATTCTCCACCGAATTCTCATTTTACTTAGTGTCAAATCCAAAGTCCATATCATGGCCAACAAGACCCTGTATAAGCCCCAACCCCAACCCACCTGCTTGTATCTGATCTCATCTCCTAACACTTGTCCCCTCACTCCCTGGGCTCCAGCACATCACCAGCTTGTTCCTCCAATGCACCAAACAAGCTCCCACCTCAGGGCCTTTCCACGTGCTCCTCCCTGTTTGTTTGCGCTCATTTCCTTTAGGTCTCTGCACAAGTATGTCCTCCCTAAAAACCCTGTAGAAAGTAGCAAATACAAACTCTTTCACACACACACACACAAATACATACACCCCTGTCCCTTTATATATATGTGTGTGTGTGTACATGTGTTTATTTATTGTCTGTCTCTTCACTATCCGCTGAAAAATAAATTCCGTGTGAGCAGGGACTTAATCTGTTTTGTTCACTGCCCCATCTCAGTGCCTGGAACACAGAAGTTCAATAAATGTTTGATGAATGGATAAATCAAATTAGAAGCCAGGACTGCAAGTCGAGCAGGCCAACTTTGGAGCCTGAGCTCTTAATCAGTGCTGCACCACCGCCTTTCCTAGACAGAGGAGTCCCACATCGAGAAGGAAGCCTATCTTAGGCGAATTGTAAGACAGTCCAGTGCCAATAACATGAGCAGAACTTCCCAGAGAGCTTTAGGAAGATGGCTTGAACTCCTTGCTTCTTTTCTGTCTGGCACTTACCTTAATGAGAATGTGTAAAGAGGTTTTGTAAGGCTTGAAATCGGAGAAGAGTGTAACAATGCGAAATTTCACTTCTTGCTTTGGCTTGTACAGGGCCTTGTCTGTTTGAATGAAGACAGACATTCTCTTGGTCTCAAATGATAAGCGCGTACTATTAGAGAATAAAATCTTATCCTGGGCACGTCCAGTTACATGTAGCTCATAAATCCCATCTGCACTCTTCAGAGGTAGCTAGCAGGGGGGAAAAAAATCACACATCAAGGTCTCATTATTTTACATCAAAAATGTTTTAATTACAAGTTAGAATGAAAAGTTAAATACATAGTATTATCAAAAGTAATTGCAATGTTGAAAAATTTGCCCCTCCGAGGCACCAGAATTTGTTTTCACTCTTTTAACATCCTGTAGCTTGCTCTCCAATTACATCGCAGGGCTCCTGGGTGGGAGATGCACACCTCACAGCTGTCTCACAAAAGCAGTTACCTTGTCATTTCCTATTCCAAGTGCAAATTCATCCTCACTGACAGTTATTGTGGGTCAGAATATCTAACACACCTCAGCACTCTTTTCTGTGCTCAGCCAACTGGTGAAAGACCCATTTGCACAGATTTGTTTTCTTGCTACATTCACTCAAGCTCTTTCCTGAGATGCGTTCCCTTCCTGCTTCTTGCTCATGGTGTATCATAGTCTTGGTAAGAATGGTGGTGCTGCTACTTTTACTACTACTATTAGTAACAGAAATGCTACCTTCTGGCATTAGCATACCTTATGAGATATTATGAGATTATAGACAGATAGATAGATAGATAGATAGATAGATAGTTTTCATCCAAGGTTCCTGAGCCATAACTCCTATAGCCCTTGTTATAGTCTTCTGTTATAATGTCAGGATGCTTTAGGCCTCAGAAGCAGGCCTCAGGAAATAGAATCTCTCTCTCTCTCTGACCTTCTCCTGACCTCCTTTCACCTGCCCAAGGCAGGACTCTAATCTGATTGTGGCTCATAAGACCCTCTTCCAGATAGGGTCCTGCCTTTTATCCTGGAGGAAGGAATACCGCACAGCAGAGGCCAAGAAGATTCTGCATAGACAGGCCTTGACTTTAGATCATACCTTTTTTGTCCACTCACATTTCGACGCAGTCATCCATGCTTCAAACAGGGACAACCAATGAAGTCTCCACAACAGGCACAAAATACAGGGTTCAGGGAGCTTCCAGATAGCTGACCACCTGGAGGTTCCCAGAGGGTGGCACAGCCGGGGAGGCTGTGGAAGCTCCATGCCCCTTACCCCACACCTTGCCCTATGCATCCCTTCATCTGTATCCTTTGTAATATCCTTTATAATAAACCAATAAATGTGTTTCCCAGAGTTCTGTGAGCCATTCTAGTAAATTAATCAAACTCAAAGAGGAGGCTCTAGGAACCTCAACTTGAAGCCGGTCAGTCAGAAGTTCCGGGGGCCCAGATTTGCAACAGGTGGGAAGAGGTGGGGCAGTATTGGGGACTGAGCCCTCAGCCTGTGGGATCTGATGCCATCTCCAGACAGACAGTGTCAGAATTGAATTGGAGGACACCCAGCTGGCGTCCACTATAGAACTGACTGCTGCTTGCTGGTGGGGAAAACGCCCCATACATTTGATCCTAGAAGTCTTCTGTGTTGACTGTTGCGATGAGTAAGAGAACAGGAAAGAGCACTTTGAGTCTGTGCTTGTTTTCCACTCACACCATACCAAGCGGTTTACATGCACTATATCATTTTACCTCAACAATCCTTCAGGCGGATGCTCTCACTAAAACCACTTCACAAACAAGGAAACTGGGGCTTAGAGGAGTTAAGGAAGTTACTCCTAGTCACTAGATGAGATTCAAACAAAATATGGGCTATACTACTCTAAGAAGAACCTTGATGTGGTGATTTTAAAATGTATGGACAAACTCTCTGACCTTCCCCCCTTCAGAAGGTGGAGCCTAATTCCCCATATTTAGTGACTTACTTCTAAAGCCTACAAATGGGACTATATCATAAAAAGAATAGCTTCTGCCTGGTTCTCTCATTCTCTCTTGGATTACTCACTCCGGGGGAAGCCAGCCGTGGTGTGATGAGGACATTAGAGAAGGCTGTGGAGAGACCTGCATGGGGAGAAACTGAGGCCTCCCACCAGCCACCGCAGCCAACTTGCCAGCCAAGCGGGTGCTCTGCCTCACAGAGGATCCCCAGCCCTGGGGAAGCCTTCAGATGACTGCCACCCTGATGACATCTGGATTGCAACCCCGTGAGACCCCAAATCAGAAATGCCCAACTACGTTGTTCCCAAATTCTTCACCCACAAAAACTATGAGAAGTAATAAAAGTTTATTGTTGTTATAACCCAAAGTTTGATAGTTACTCAGCAATAGATGACTAGCCTGCCTAACTTTTAGTTGGTTTCCATATTAAAGCTGAGGTCCTGCAACTACATTCTAACTCGTTTTTGCAAATAAGTATTGTCCACAGATAGCTCAGAGGGAATTTTCCAGTAAGAGCAGCCACTGTAAAGCTATCAATATGGTTTAGAACATAAAGAAAGTATAATAAAACATCATCACCAATAAAACGGTCAGCAGGAAGTATTTAGGAAGAAGAGTACTGATGTTTGCAATTTACTTAGACATACATTAAAAAATAAGATGAATGAATGATTAGGTAGAAAGGTGGGTAGATGGAAAAATATATGGTAGAGCATTCTAGTAAAATGTTAATGATAGGCCCTAAATGGTGGGTATAGGAGTGTTTACTATGAAATTTTTCAAGTTTTGTGTATATTTGACATTTTAATAATAAAATGTTAGGAAAATATTCAGTATGTCACCTTCAAATGACCTCTGGTATCAATTTTTGCTTCTCTTTGATAAATAAATATTTATTGAGCACCTTCCAGGTAGCAGGTTGTCCTAGGTACTTGGGATACAACATGAACCAAAAACCATGCCTTAGTGGAACTGAGAGTTTAGCTTGGAATCTGCATTCTTACATTTTATTTTCTCAAGTGATACTTCAGTCCTCAGGTTCTTTTAATCAGATTCCTTAACACTCCAAGCAAAAAAATATATATGACAGGAACCAGCATATCATAAGCTTATAAATGCCACAGAATTATAAATATTTCCTATTTTAAAATATGATAGTTGATGAAATTGCTCTTTATGATTTGGATATAGTTTGATCATTTTTAGAGACACAGAGGCCCCAGAACAGATGGTAGATTGAAAACTGATGTCAAATTAACGATGCTGAGGCCTGAAGCTAAACAGGCCTATTAACCACAAGGAGGCCACATAGTAAGAGAATTAGGGAATTAACACCAATGTGTCCAAAAGCATTTTAGTCCATCCCTTACTGAGTCCATCCTCATTCAGGGAGCTGACAGTGACTCAAGGGGAGATGTTACTGTCTTTCTTCTGCTCCTTTGGGTTACCTTAACTAATTTGCATTTTCAACTTTCCCCCATTAGAGACCCCACCTCCCCACATGTAAAATTAGGTAATTTGGGATCCTCAAAGACTCAGTGCTAATCCCTGCACAAGAAACTCAGAGATGACAATAAGCACAGGGCCTCACTACATGCCTCTGGGTGGCGCTCCAGAGTCCTGAGGTGTCAGAAAGGCCTTCTGCTCCACTGTTAACAGTGGGGACTCCTAATGAGAGGGAGACTGGAGACAAGGTTGTGGATTTTAAGCAATCTTTATAAAATTTTCTCTCTCTGTGCCAGACCTGGAATGGGTTATAACCTGCTTCGTGCAGCAGAGGGGACACCAGGAGGTAATAGAAGCTCCTGCATCTCTGCTGGTCAATTGCCTTCGACTTCTTGTGTCCACAGTTACTGGAAAGGGTTCCTAGAATTGCTAATAAATACAATGGTTCCCTGATAAGTGACTTCCATACCTCTTATATAGGAATAAATTATTTACCCAGAGATATTTTGGACTCCTACTCCTTGGCCTGAGGGCACAGAGCTGGAGGAAAGTGCAGTTCCCACAGTCGCAGGCTGTCTGGCAGCAGGACAAGAGTCCAGGAGTCGACAATATTGAGGGTCTTTGATCACCAAAATATCAATCAGCCTGCGTTGGGCATGTTGACTTTCAATTATGCTAAGTCTATTTTGAGCATACATAAATGCAAACTGTCCGAGTAGAAGAGAGTTCTCTGCCCAGGGTACACAAGGAAGGCATGTTGAAAAAGATCCTTGCTGGATGATAAATAAAGATTATTTATTCTAATCTGGGCTATTTAAAGCCATCTCACCCTCTCTGAAAGTTTCATCGCTTTAAGGAAAATGAAATAACACAATAGTATTTATCCTCATGTACTTCATGAATAATGCCGGTTACTAAAAGTAAAGTAGACAAATTTTCAAAATAAAATGGAGAAATTTAAGATGATGGGTTCTATTAAAAATACATTAGTACTGTGGATAGCTCAAGGTCAGGAGTTCAAGACCAGCCTGAGCAAGAGCAAGACCCCGTCTCTACTAAAAAATAGAAAGAAATGATCTGGCAACTAAAAATATATATATATATAGAAAAAATTAGCAGGGCATGGTGGCGCATGCCTGTAGTCCCAGCTACTTGGGAGGCTGAGGCAGGAGGATAGCTCGAGCCCAGGATTTTGAGGTTGCTGTGAGCTAGGCTGACGCCACGGAACTCACTCTAGCCCAGGCAACAGAGTGAGACTCTGTCTCAAAAAAAAAAATATATATATATTAGTACTTAAACTTCAAAAACATTTCTAATTAAATAAAACCACCCCCTCATTTTAAGTTGGATTGGTTGGCAAAGAGAATGAAAGAAATTTTCCTACCATATTTTGTACAAAAAATAAGCTTTATATTAAAGATCAGTTATGATTTTATTTACTTCTTATTGCCAGCTATATTAGCATCTTGAAGTAAAAACAATGAGTAAATCAGGTATTAAACACAGTTGTTTTAATGCAGCCTTAAAATATTCACATTTTACAGTAAAAAGTCATGAAAATCTTAAAAGTAATTTAAGATATTACATTTACAAATATCAGAATGCAAGTGCACTTTAAAAGTTGATTCTCCTTTTTTTCGTTGCCAATAATGCTCACGCAAACATGGTGAACGTTCCTAAAACCCGCGGGACTCTCTTTAAAAAATGTGGCAAGCACCAACCCCACAAAGTGACACAGTACAAGAAGAGCAAAGATTCTCTGTATGCCCGGGGAAAGCGGCGTTATGACAGGAAGCAGAGTGGCTATGGTGCGCAGACTAAGCTGATTTTCCGGAAAAAAGCTAAAACTACAAAGAAGATTGTGCTGAGGCTTCAGTGCGTCAAGCCCAACTGCAGATCTAAGAGAATGTTGGCTATTAAGAGATGCAAGCACTTTGAACTGGGAAGAAATAAGAAGAGAAAAGGCCAAGTGATCCAGTTCTAAGTGTCTTTTGTTTTATTATGAAGATGATAAATATTGAGGTTATGTCCAAAAAAAAAATTGGTTCTACTTTAAAACCCATAAAAATGCAGAACCTTCTATTTTTGCCAAGAATATCAAATCCGCCCAGAGACTTTATGACTAAGTCTTTAAAACTGTGCTTTACTAAAAAGGGATATACTCTTAAAAATAATCTCTAGCAAAGCTTTCGATATATATGCTATATCTACATACAACGGGAATGCCATAATATTAATACTAAAGGCAAATATCAAATGTCGGAGCTAGTATTTCACATACTTAAGACTTAAGAGAATTACAGTAGCCAGATGTCCAGCTGATGATAGATCAGACCAGTATAGTTTCATACCAATATTACTAGAAGGAGTTCTTGTGCCCTAGGCCTGGCCTTCTCTCAGCCTTTCTACACTTCTGGTCTGTGAAATTGCAAAATTCTTTGAGGAAACCAGTTACTATGCTTTCAGCTATGATTCCTGAACTTAAATCCCATTCTCCTTCTGCTACAGGGCAATTATATTACACAGGATTTATTTTAATCTTAACCAATGGAACACCCTTTCAACAGTTATGCATGCAGGCACTGGGGCGAGCATCCCCTGTCTTAGGTTCTATTAATGCAATCTAAAGTTTTATTATCACAAAGATTGCAGGGTTTTTCCCCACTTCTGCCTGCTTATTCCTTTTTTCCCTCCATTTTCTATTTTTTTTTTTTTCTTTAAGCCTTTTCCCAGAAGAACTCCACTTTTTACTGTCAGCAGCAATATATTTCTTGGGATGGAAAGTACAAACATAATAAATATATAAAAAACAAAATAAGACACAGCATATTAAGTAATTTTTATAAAGTGCTGTTTGGGAGTACGTATGCTCTAGGAATTCCCCAAAATGCATGTGGTTTCTGAATGTGCTTGATAGTCATCTACTCTCAGAAAAGTATAACAAATTGCCACTCTTGTTGGATGCTGTGGTTTACAATATTGCACATTAAACATGCAAAGCTCCAAAACAAAGCATGGTAACAAAAGTACAAAATTCCAAGCCAAAGCCATGGGAAGTAAGATTAGTTCACAAACAACATTTAATAATCAGGTTTTATGAATCTCTCAACAAAGTAATAACACCGTTCCATTT